AAACAAATGCTGGAGAGGGTGTGGAGTAAAGGGAACCCTCCCACACTGTTGGTGGGAATGTAAATTGGTACAGCCACTATGGAGAACAGTATGGAAGTTCTTTAAAAAACTAAAAATAGAGCTACCATATGATCCAGCAATCCTTCTCCTAGGCATATATCCAGAGAAAACCATAAATCAAAAAGATACATGAAGCACCGAGCTGATCTCCCTGTGCTATTCAGCTGCTTCCCACTAGCTATCTATTTTACATTTGTTAGTAGAGAGGTGGGGGGGGGGGGGGAGATGCAAGAGGGAGGAGAGATGGGAATATATGTTTACGTATAGCTGATTCACTTTGTTATAAAGCTGAAATTAACACACCATTGTAAAGTAATTATACTCCAATAAATATGTTAAAAAAATAAAAAAGAAACATTCACCCCAATGTTCATCGCAGTGCTATTTACAATAGCCAGGACATGGAAGGAACCTAAATGTTCATCAATGGATGAATGGATAAAGATGTGGTACATATATACAATGGGATATTACTCAGCCATAAAAAAGAACAAAATAATGCTATTTGAAGCTACATGGATGGACCTAGTGATTGTCATACTGAGTGAAGTAAGTCAGACAGAGTAAGTCATATATCATATGGTATTGATTATATGTGTAATCTAAAAAATGGTACAAATGAACTTATTTACAAAACAAAAATAGAGTCACAGATATAGAAAACAAACTTATGGTTACCAAAGTGGAAAGGGAGAGAGAGATAAATTGGGAGATTGGGACTGACATATACACACTACTATATATAAAATAAATAACTAATAAGAACCTACTGTATAGTACAGGGAACTCTGCTCAATACTCTGTAATGACCTTTATGGGAAAAGAATCTAAAAAAGAGCAGATATATGTATATGTTTAACTGATTCACTTTGCTATACAACAGAAACTAACACAATATTGTAAATCAACTATATTCCAATAAAAGTGAAGTAAGTCAGAAAGAGAAAGACAAATACCGTATGCTAACACATATATATGGAATTTAAGGGAAAAAAAATGTGAAGAACCTAGGGGTAAGACAGGAATAAAGACACAGACCTACTAGAGAATGGACTTGAGGATATGGGGAGGGGGAAGGGTAAGCTGTGACAAAGTGAGAGAGTGGCATGGACATATATACACTACCAAATGTAAAATAGCTAGTGGGAAGCAGCCGCATAGCACAGGGAGATCAGCTTGGTGCTTTGTGACCACCTAGAGGGGTGGGATAGGGAGGATGGGAGAGAGGGAGACACAAGAGGGAAGAGATATGGGAACATATGTGTATGTATAACTGATTCACTTTGTTATTAAAGCAGAAACTAACACACCATTGTAAAGCGATTATACTCCAATAAAGATGTAAAAAAAAAAAAATAAGCCAAAGACCTAAGTAGACATTTTTCAAAGAAAATATTCCAACAGCCAACAGGTACACGAAAAGTACCTCAGCATCATTCATCATCAGGAAATGCAAATCAAAACCACTATGAGATATTACCTCACACCTTTCAGAAAGGCTGTTATCAAAAGACAAGTGCTGGGAAGGATGTAGAGAAAGGAGACCCTTTTATACTGTTGGTGGGAGTGTAAGTTGGTACAGCTGCTATGGAAAACAGTATGGAGGTTCATTAAAAAATTAAAAATAGAGCTACCGTATAATTCAATTCCAGTTCTGGGTATATATCTAAAGAAAACAAATAACTATCTTGAAGAGCTATCTGTACCCCATATTTGTTACTGCATTATTCATAATAGCCAAGACATAGAAACAACCTAAGTGTCCTTTGACAGATAAATAGATAAAATAAATATATACAAACACACACAATGGAATATTATTCAGCTGTAGAAAGAGGGAAATCTTGTCTTTTCCACATTGTGGACTAACCTGGAAGGTGTTATGCTAAATGAAATAATTCAGACAAAGAAAGACAAATACTGTATGATATCACTCATATGGGGAATCTAATAAAACTGAATTTGTAGAAACAGAGAAGAGATTGATGTTTGCCACATGCAAGGGGTTTTGGGTTGGGGAAATAGGTGAATGTGGTCAAAAGGTAGAGTTTCAGTTATAAAATAAATGAGGTTGAGGAAGTAACATACGGCATGAAGACTAAAGTTAACAAAACTGTATTGTATATTTGAAAGTTGCTAAGAGAGTAGATTGTAAAAGTTCTCATCAAAAGAAAAAACGTGTAACTATGTGAAGTGATGGATGTTAAGTGACCTTAATGTGCTTATCTTTTTGCAGTATATACATATATCAAATCATTATGTTGTACACCTTAATCTTATACAATGTAATATGTCTATTATTGTCTCAAATTAGGGAAAAATACAAAATCTGAGCAGACAAATAACAAGTGAGAAGGTTGAATCAGTAGTCAAACCTCCCAACAAAGGAAAGCCCAGGAACAGATAGATGGTTTCACTGGTGAATTACATGAAACATTTTAAAAAGAATTAACAACAGTCCTTCTCAAACTAGTCAAAAACCTAAAAGGAACACTCTCAAACTCATTTTATGAAGCTAGCATTTCCCCAATACCAAAGCTGGATAAAGATATTACTAGATATCCTTGATGAATATAGATGTAAAAATTCTCAACAAAATACTAGCAAACCAAATTCAACAGCACATAAAAGGATCATGCATCATCATCAAGTGGGATTCATCTCTAGGATGCAGGCATGGTCTACATATGCAAATCAATAAATGTGACACACCACATTTATAGAATGAAAGATAAAAATCACATGATCACCTCAATAGATGCAGAAAAAGCATTTTACAAAATTCAACATCTTTCGTGATAAAAATTCTCAATAAATTGGGTATACAAAGAACATATCTCAATATAATCAATGCCTTTTATGACAAGCTCACCGCTAATAACAATACTCAGAGGTGAAAGTTTGAAAGCTTTTCCTCTAAGTTCAGGAATAAGACAAGGATTCCAAACCTCACCACTCCTATTCAGCATAGCTCTTGAAGTCCTAGCCAGAGCAGTCAGGCAATAAAAAGCAATTAAAGTCAGAAAGTGAGAAGTCAAATTGTCTCTGTTTACAGATGATATGATTTCATACATAGAAAACTCTAAAGACTATCCCAAGAAATAATAATATTAGAATAATAAAGGAATTCAGTAATGTTTCAGGATACAAAATCAGTGTACAGAAATCAGTTGTGTTTCACTAACAGCAAACATCCAAAGGAGAAATTAAGGACATGATCCCCTTTGCAATAGCACAAAATAGTAAAGTACTTAGGAATAGGTTTAGCCAAGAAGGTTAAAGATCTGCACATTGAAATCTAGTAGACATTTATGAAAGAAATTGAAGAAGACACAAATAAATGGAAAGATATTCCATATTCATGGATGATAAGAATTAATATTGTGAAAATGTCCTTACTATATAAAGCCATCTGTATACTTGCTGTAATCCTTATCTCAAATTCCATGGCATTTTTCATAGAAGGAGACAAAACACTCCTAAAATTCATATGGAACCACAAAAGACCCCAATTTACCAAAGCAGTTCTGTTAAAGAAGAACAAAGCTGGGGCAATCATGCATCCCAATTTCAAACTATATTACAAAGCTATAATAATCACAAAAGTATGGTACTAGCATAAAAAACAGCATATAGATCAATGGAACAGAATCAAGAGCCCAATTATAAACCCACACTTATGGTCAACTAATATTTGTCAGGAGGCCAAGAATATTTAGTGGGGGAAAGATAGTCTCTTTTATTAATGGTATTGGGAAAATTGAATGTTTACATGCAAAGGACTGTATTGGACTCCTATATAACACCACTCACAAAAATTAACTCAAAACTGATTAAAGACTTAAGTGTAAGACCCACATCTATAAAATTCCTAGAAGAAAACAGGGTTTTCCCTGTTTTCCCTGTACTCCTCAACATTGATCTTGGCAATGAGTTTTTGAATATGACACCTAAATCAAAAATGAGCAAGTGGGACTACATCAAACTAGAAAGCTTCTGCATAGCAAAAGACAATCAACAAAATGAAAAGGCTACCTATGCAATGGGAGAAACTTTTTTATAAACCATACACCCAAAAAAGACACACACACACGCACACACACACATACACACTGTGGAATACTATTCAACCATAAAAAGAAGGAAATCCTGCCATTTATGGAAATATGGATGGTCTTTAGGGAGTTATGCTGTGTGAAATGTCAGACAGAAAAATACAAATACAATATGTCATTTATATAAGCAATCTGAAAAAGGCAAAATTATAGAAGCAGAAAGTAGGTTGCCAGGGGTTGGGGTTGGGGAAAGTGGGGTGATGTTGGTCAAAGGGCACAAGCTTCTAGTTATATGATGAATTAGTTTTGGAGATATAATGTACAGTATGGTTAATGTAGTTAACAATACGCTATTGTATACTTAAGGTAATTGTGTGAGGTGATGGATGTGCTAACTAACCTTATTGTGGTAATTATTTCACAATATATATGTATAATGAATTATCACATTGCATACCTTAAACTTACACAACATTGTATGTCAGTTACATCTCAATAAAGCTGGAAAACAATAACAAGAACAAAAACAAAACAACAAAATACTGGCTTTTAGAAAAGAAGTGGTTCCTTCCCACTGAAGTGTGAATGTCTTAATATGTTATATGATGGCTTAATATGATACTACTTCCAGGGTAATGGGATCAAGTCATCAAACAAAGGCAAACAGAGAAACTATAATGTTGAAATTTCAGACACTGACCAGCAGATGAGAAAGGTATTTGGGAGCAGCAGAGAGATCACCCTTGCATTCTGAATCATATGCTGTGTTCCTCAGCCTATTCTGTTCTGAATAGAGATAAGGATTAAAAGTGGGCACTAGGTGCTTTGAGAATCCCCTTACTACTTAATTTATACCATTTCCCTTTGATCTCCCGTCTACTCTAGGTGTCACCTCTGCTCGCTCAGTTCCTCCTTCCTACCCACCACCGCAGGACCCGTTAAACCAGGGCCAGTACCTGGTCCCTGATGGCATCGCTCAGTCGCAGGTCTTTGAGTTCACCGAACCCAAGCGCAGCCAGTCACCATTCTGGCAAAACTTCAGCAGGTTAACCCCCTTCAAAAAATAATACCAACAGGGAGGCAGATAATTTTAAAATAAAGTAAATAAAATTATATTTATAGATGGACCTTTTTTCGGAGAAGCACTGTTGAAATTTATATATATATATATATATATATATATATATATATATATATACACACACACACA